GTGCTGTGCTGTGTTTCTGCTTTATCGTACGATTTTTTGTTATATTTTTTGTGTTTGCAAGAGACGCTGATACCTATTTTAGCATTGGAAAAGAGTAAACCAAAACAAATTTGGTACGTGTTGTTGCAAGCGCTTAGTCAAAAGGCGGGGCTTGTTTATAGAGCAAAAGCACAGCGCTCTTATTAGATGCCTTAAAAATTAAATAACTATTAAATAAATAACAATTTTTCAAATAAAGAAATTGTAAATTATGGAAATTGGTCCGGTTATTTTGGAACACCCTGTAAATTCCCTGTTTTATTTTAACACAATGTTTGAAAATTGTTCAAAGATATTATCGAAACTAGAGCTCTGTTTAATTTACTGTAAGAGCACTTCGTACAGAAACTCGTACTTTCTGGTGAGGCTCATTTTTTTTTAATAAATGCATTTATTAAAGCCATGGCTTTGTTAATATGCAAAATTGCCGTTAATGAAGTTAATCTAACCCAGAAGCGACACACGGAACTTCTTTGTATCTGGATCTGGTGTGGATTATGTTACGGAGGCATCATCCTTTTTAATGAGAAAGTAAGAAGCGTTCCCGTAAATTATCGTTATCTATCGATGTTGACTAATTATTTAAGAAAATTTAATGACCAATTGTCTATCTCAAACAAAAGTTGTGTATAAAACATATGTAAAGTCCGGACGTGCTTATAAGTAGTTTATTTTATTTTCAAATAAAATTTACCTTATATAAAAGGGGAAACCTAATTTGTAATTAGCTCCTCTGTGAATAGTGACTGTAGATTTCATGGCTAAACGCCATTGAAAGGGTTCATCAATGCGATAATTTCGGATCAAGTTATCTAGTTAGTTAGTATAAACTCTGATTAGTCGTAAATGTAATTTATAATCCTGGCTCCAAGTAATAAAGATAAACGAGCCTAAAATGAAACGAAATATTAAATACAAAAATCCAATCAAAACCTATGCTTATAATAACAATATGTATCTAGGTGTTACTTATGAATATTTGGCGAACAACTAGACACCGCATTGCTCCGCTATAAAAGTCAAGGATCCACGCATAGTAGTTCAATGAATATTGTTCATCGAGCTACGCCGAGACAGCTTCCTTTACTGTATACGGAAAGTTATAAGATCTCGAAAAAATGCTCATCGTAATTAGAATAAACAATAGTCGAAGACTTCAACGCCAGAATGGGGCATGACCTTTACAAATAAGAGAGGGCATTTACTATGCGTATAAATGGCGGAAAATGCTTAACATGCATAGTACATAATGTGTTCAAACGTTGAAAGCGCACCTTTTTAGAGAAAATACCACTTTACAGTTTATTTTATGTACAGTGACCAATAAGGAAACTTTGAGTAATCACTATTATATAACTTTTAGGATAGTGGACAAAAACGACCGATGAATTATCCAGACCTATATGCCTTCTAGCGTGGAAGTAAAACTGTATGCCCGTTGTTCCTTATAATTAGTAGGTTTAGTAGTAGAAATAAAACGTTAGGGTGGACTAGCAGCCAAACAGTTCGGTTAAGTGGAGGGTTAGCAAACGTTTGACACAATTAACAACGTAATCCATGGATTACGATTATTGCAAAAGAGAACCTATAAATTAAGCGCTCCAACACAAAACTGTGATTACGCTGAATATTAAAAACATGTTTAACGCCCTGGCAAACCATCCTATATACTCTCCCTTATCGAGGAATAGAAGAAAAGCTCTCTATTATTGCTTACCACCTGTCAGAAAAAAATAATACTGGCTGAAGATGAAGCTAAGATGATAATTGACGATAACAGTGGCATTCCTCAAGGTTACACACTTGGTTACACTAATTAGATTTTCGAATAACATTGCTCTATTCGTAGTTGCAAAGAATAAGCCACAATTAATGTGCAAAGCTGGCTGGATGGTAAAAAGCTTAAGCTTGTACCTACCTGAGAAAATAGGCAACAAATAATAGCACAGATCCAATTTGCCATTTAGGGCTTATTGGTCAAACCCAGCAGTACACACATCGAATCACCGAAAAAGTTAAAAATATAGTATCAATATTGACCATCCTTTTACTTAATAAAGGCAGGTCAAAGGCATCACCCGTTTGGCATCTAGCAATAATGCTAGAAACATATTGACATATCCGAAAAAATGTCGCGTTTTATTTAGAATAAGGTTTTTTACTCGCGAAGCGAAAGCTTCAATAATAAGATTATATAATTATATATTAGTATAGTCATCGATGACGTCATAATTTTGCGCACTGGTACTAACACTAAATGTATAAATGAATATTTTAATGCATTTTAAACTACTTTAGTTGGCAGCAATTGCAATGTTAACAATTGAGGGGCTTGGAAGTAAAACGGTTCAAGTGCACTTTTTTAAATAAATGGTCTAATTGCAGAATATCACACCTAAAGAATATTCTAACTTAGTGGTAAAATTATATAAGTACATTTTACATTCCCTGGCGCCATTTCTTATCGTCTTTAAAAATCTGTCAAAATATTTTAAAATATATCTTTGTTAAAACGATTTAAGTGCACCTTTTACTGCTAAACATAGGCTATTATCTATGCTGCTAAAGCCTTGACAAGTATTTTAAAACAGACCATAGCATTGAGCCAAAAAAATCCAATTTAGATCAACCCCAACCAAGACCAGCTAATTCAGATGAAGAAAACGTTGTATTAGATCACAGGTCTGTGGTATTAGATTCTGATTATGAATATTACTTTTTGTTATAAAACTTACCCAAATTTTAAAAAATAAAGTTTTGTTCTAGTACAGTAATTGCATTTAAATCATTTTACCACTAAATTTTGTCTTACATGCATGACGATTCAAGTACATTTTTGTAAAAAAAATTAACAAAAAATAATCCTTTTTTGTCTTTAAACAAAACTAAAATATTCACACAGTTTTTTAAACTCTTTTCTAGAATAGAAGTTAACTTTAAAGCCATTTATCTCAGAACTAACAAAAATGCACTTAAACCCTTTTACTTCTAGTCCCCTCAATTGTCATGTTTAGATTAAAATTTTTCGTAAGGTCATCTAATTTTTTCGAAAAAAATCGGTAAAACAAGTTTTGGGGGCAACAAAAATCCGAGTCGAAGACGAGGAGTTTTGCACCTGCACGAATGCATTTTGTTAAAAAATATTACTTAGCATTGTGTTTTTTCGATTTTTTTCACAGGAAAAATTAGATGCCAGAATGGTATTTGACAAAACTATTTCATGAGAAACAGTTAACAATTCAAATATATATTGCACTTTTTGGTGACAACAGCTGTCAAGTTTTGCCGCGGGTAAACTGTTGGGTCCTGTCAAACAGTTTTTTCACCTAGAAACCATTTGTAATTCAAAATTGCGCGTTTGTGATTGGTGGAAATTAAGACGAGGAAAATAGTTTTAATAAAATGACGCATAGAAAAAGAAATTGACGTTTTAGAATTTTGAAGCTGTCAGTTGGGTTTTTAAATATTTCGTTTAATTCGTGTATAATTTCGTTTATTTTGTTTGTTTTTTGTGTTCTTTTATATTGTTTAAGTTTTCATTGCCGTTTTTGTTTTTGTTTTTTATCTTTTTTTGTTTTTCCTATATTTAAAATGCCTACCTTTGTTACCTTTAACAGCCGTTAGAGAGGTAAATAGGATTATTATTAATTATATATTAGAATATTTAACAAAATATATGTTGGATACATAAAATAATAATATATACCAGAGACTGACTAGATGGCAAAATTTCTGGGTTTTATAGCTGAAAACGTCTTTAAAAATGGCTAAAAACATACTTTTGGCGGTTATAAAAACTCTGACTTTTGACATTTTGGTATTCTAAGGTCCCAAATCTAGGGACCCTATGGTATTATTCATTTAAACGCAATCTATCGCCTGTAGTTGCACTACCACTTTCACTTGATGCAATGATTTTAACATCACATTGACAACCGTGCCCGATCAGCTGATTGATGACGTGTACGTGTACGTCGTTTCCTTTTAAATTTACTATAGTCGCGGCCAAATCTGTATGGGTGCACGTCATCAACGGCATATGACGTCAGCGTTAAGGTCTATTCATACGTGCCCAGACACAATCTAACGCTCGTGTTTTGTTGACTGTTTATAGCGGTGGGGGCTGTTATTAAGATGGAATTATAACGTCCTTGTATAATCTTCTGCACTAACTAATTAGGAGTTTGTTACAGGCAAATTTTTATTAAATGTGTTTAAAGAGAAAACAAACGGAGTTTATTACATTTTTATTACATATGCACATAACAAAAAAATACTAAATTATCAGAAACACAAAAATAATAAATTACCAGTCGTCCTTGTCATCAGAGCAAACCAGGTCAGAATTGAATTTTGATTATTTCCCCAAATTTATTATTAAGGGCGCAATGTCTTCGAAATCTAATAACGGCTAGTTGCCAACAGGCCTTATATCATTGTTTGCACAATCCAGGGATTGAATCTTATAAACATAATGTATAATATTATTTATAATAATTTGCAACAAACGATGGTTCCGGACGAAATGTCACAATTACAAAAATACGTCAAATATAAAATGACAGCGACACATCAATAATATTGAACGGTGCGCGCCAGCCTTAAGCTATTACCAACTGGCACACACAAAAATTACTAAGTGAATGGTTTTATTTTGATAATTTCGTGAAAAAACGTTTTAAAACAAGGAAATTGTTACAGTTCTTGGTAAACAATACGCAAATGAATGATTTCTTTTTAATAACACATCAGAATTACGCCTTAAAAAAGCAAATTTAACGGCAGTAACTTTACAATTCAAAGTTGGTAATGCTGACGTCATTATATCTCATTGATGACGTGCACCCATATAGATTTGGCCTTGACTATATATGATAATATTTTTCACAAAACTTTTTAGTTAATTTTATTATTTTATTTATTTAAACACTACCTTATTATGCTAAATATATCTTACTCACCTCATGTCCATACCTAAACATATCATAAAGAGGTACAGGTTCCTCTCCTCTCATTCTCGCTCCGACCAGATCCCAATTGGTAAAATTTTTCACGTAAAACACTAAATTGGTGGGAGTAATTTCTTCGAGTCCTTCCATTAGGAAATCCGCCGGAAAAGCGTTCATGAAGGTTATGTTGTGTCCTCGGGGTATGAGCCCTCTTGCCAATTCCCAAAACGGAATCTTATGTGACTTTGTGCCACCCATTGTTATCATAAATATGTTTGCACAGGTACATAGGTTTATCACAGCCAACGTTACTGTAAAGGTGGTTAAAAGATAAGAAGACATATCTGAAAAAGAAAAAAGTTTTATCAATATTTATTTCAATGCTATATCTGTTTAAAAAATACAATATAAATATAAATTAGAGGATTTTGTTGCTTAAATTTAATGGCCTCTGATTTTTTATAGTTTTAAAATCATTTTTTTAAACGCCTAATATTTTTAAGTGACTAAAAGCCCATTCTCTATTAATTTCACAAATTATTATAATCCTCTTAGAAACATAGGAAGAATATTAAAATTTAAGTAATTCCTGCAAAATTTAAAGTGATAATAAATGATAAACCTAAATATGTTTTAGTTTATTACCGTTTGTATGAATAAATATATTTAAACATTAAACAAACCTACGTATCCACTTTCTAATATTTATTAAACCATTACCTTATAAATTTAAACAAATGGTTACTAAAAATTAATATTTACTACTAAAATAAAAAAAAACTTTAACTTTTGACAATTTAGGCAATTACTCTTACCATTTAAAAGATATTCAAGGTCAAAGTTTAAAGAATTTATTTAAAAAAAATTTTTTTTATAATTTTAACACTTATTAAAAAATAATTATTGTCAAATAAGTATGACATATTTTTGTGGGAAATTTAACGCTATACAAAAAATGTAATAGTAAGTTGTGATTTGTTTAATTGATTACTCTAACCGTTTAGAAAATATTTGTTTTCGAATCCCAATGCCTACTGAACGAATATCTTCTCAACAGTTAGAGTAATCAATTAAACCTAATGAACCTTTTTATACTTATTTCAAACAGCGGCGTAACTAGAAAAAGTGCCGCCCGGGGCAGCAGTGGCTGTCGCCATCATGTTTTTTTGAGGGGGGGGAAGAGAGGTTAGGTTAGGAGTCAGTTTTGAGGACCGAACGCAAAATTAAAAATATATAATTATATATATATAACATATATATATATATAACATTAAATTGTAATATTTTAAGAATTAAAAACAAACAAAAATTCTTAGACCTAGGTAAAGAAAAACAACAAATAAAATGTGCTTTAACATAATTTATATGAAAAAAACAAAGAGATAAATTCTCAACCTTATGTAAAAGTACCTACACTGAAAGAAATATATACTAAAGTTAAATAAAAAAATAATTAGGGCAAATATATTTTATGTTTCATATATAGACTACCACATACATTGCTAAAACAAATATATTCGTTTGGTTAGCAGCCTATTGCTGCCCTAGCAATATAAATGGTGTTTCTAGCAATATTTTTTTGCTGTAATTCACTTATAGTTTACATTTTATAGTAAGGGTAAGTTTATTTTTATTTAGATCTAACATATCTTCTTTACAATAAATGTATTACAAAATTTACCATACATTCATAATAAACAGTAGTATAAATGTGTAAAGCACTAGTATAAAATTTTTAGTATAAATTTGTATTTACTTTTAGCAACAAATTTCTTTCAGTGTACAAAAAAACTTAAACCTGAGTAAAAAATAAATAAAAATGTTTAAATATTTAGAATACCGGTCTTGTTTCTATTTTTTGCTAGCTTTATTTGATTTGAAATATTTTGGGAGTAATTGTATAAATCTCAAATCTATTGGAATTTGAATTATATTATTTCAAAAGAGAATATTTAATTATCAAATATTTTTTTTATTTTTATATTCTGTCTTCCAGTTTGTTTCGCATTTTCTCACACGATTTTTGCCGCCCCAAGAAGTGCCGCCCGGGGCGGACCGCCCCCCCCGCCCCCCCCTAGTTACGCTACTGATTTCAAATGAGTCATTTGACAATAAATATTTTTTAATGAGTTATTAACATTATTAAAAAAAATCTTCAAACTTTGATCTTGAATTTTTGTAGAGCATTCAATTTCCTACAAAAATATGTATAGGGATTTAATTAAAGAATTAAGTAGTAATAAAATATGGTATTTTTTATAAGGGATTAAAGAAAAAATGTAACACTGATGAGGAGGATCTTCCTATGAATATTAAGAGCTCAAATTTGGTAAGCAATTTGTAGAGGAGCCTAAGAATCAATTTTTCAGTGTCGGAAGTAAAAGGACTAAAACTTAACTGATTGAGTCTAAGAAAAATATAAACTACTAAAAGTGCTGCGTGGTGGAACTAGATCATGTGAGAAACTGGTTTATTACCAACAACATTTTTTTACTCACACACCCCTTGATTAGTTATTTACGTGTCAAGCTTTGTAAATAAATTTTTACGGGCGAACTGGAAGTTTGTGGTGTGAGCGATGCTGGAGCGAAATCCATAATCCAGTGAGCCTGATAAAGATGAATTGCAAAGCGTGACACGTACAGATTTTTGTTTTCACATTTAGATAACGATTTTTAAATTTAAAATTTCAATTAATGTTGCAAATGTGACATTTCATTTCATAAATTGCTTTTCTACAAGCCTGTTAAACTTTACATGTCTTTTATACAAGCCCGTAAAATATTACAGGTATGGTTCCCATAATGTATCGTTTACTTGTATACAAAAATAACAAAATTAACCTATAATATTCATTTACTAAGAAGGTGGAAATAAAATAATATTAATAACCCTGATAAGGCCTAATACCAAGATTTGCTTTTCGACCAGAATTTAAACTGAAAAAATTATATTCATTCTTTGGCGGGCTCTTTATCCAAGACTGTTTTTGTCCTCAGAAGCTTGGTTTCTTTAGATCTGCTTAAGACAGCACTTTGGGCTATTTTTGAGTCTGGAAACAGAATTGTAGGTTTGTCAGGAAAAATTGTTACGACAATGTCAAATTTGGGTTGTCGCAATGATGCCAAACGTAAATTTATATAACTAAAAAACAGGGATGGTTATAGTTTCTATATTTACATGTATATTAATAAAAGTTAATTGAGATACACTTCATATGCAGATGTTCATAGTAAAAGTAATTCAAATACTATCAAACTACCATTTTCGTAAGTTCTCAATTGACTTGTAACACAGTACGACAAAATTTGATTTTTTTTCCTCCTACGAAAAATTTTTACAGATTTTGAAAATAGACTTTAAAAAATTATACCCGTGTCTCGGCGTTTTTTCAGATCAAGTAATTTTTTAAGTGCGATCCAATAAAATGGTATCCACAGGATTCAGCACATGATATAACAGCTTGTATAATGGCTAGAATGTATAGTTATAAAAAATATTTACTGAATAAATGAACAAGCATTAAAGCTAAATTTTAAAATTATTTAAATTTTACAAAGGGTGTGGCATATTTACGAAATATATCAAGAGTTGTTTTTTAGGTTGTGGTAAAACTATAGATTCCAAAGCAATGTATAAGTTATACTAAAAGACCAAGATTTTTTTCAACAAATATTGATTATAAGATAAATACAAATCTGTTGTTTTATTAAAAAAAGATTAAAATTTAACATAAAAAATATTTTTTTTAAGTATAGTTTTTGTATTATGTAAAAACATACAATATTTGAAAAAAAAATGATTTATAATAAAATAGAGAATTAAAAATCTCTATATATAGAGATAATAATTTTTAACCTATAGGTTAAAATATTATGTGCGTTTTTTATACTCTAAAATCAGTTAAAAAAATTTATATTAGAAAAATCGTGTTGAACTGTGTAATATAGACGCATGCATGATGGTTTGACCAATGTTTTGTACAGGCATGCACGTTGTGCAGGCACAATGCAGGCTCATGTAGAATTCCATATGTGACCCTGCATTCCTGAGTAGGTATACAATGATCGTATTATGACTAAATTAGTGAGCCTCTCGCCTCACTGTGAGCCAGAAATTCCCTAAACATTGAATAAGCCAATTTTTCATCAAGTTTTTTATGCTAAAAACAGTCAAGTGGGCCATTAAGCTTACAAAAACCCCAGAAATATGTCTGTAAATTTTATGTTGAAACGCCAGGGTTTGATAAATGTCGCGGTAAATTTAATACTTATTGTCAGGTTTATTTGGTTTAAACAAATCGCTTGAGTTTAAGACATTATAGTTAAATGTGGATTAACTTTTTTACATACACTATGAGTGGGTCAGAGGCAGGAAGTTCAAGGATTTATACCATTTAAATTTTATGGATTTCTTTGCGAAGTTCCAAAACAAAATTATAATTTACTTTACGCAAGTAAAAGCAAAAATTAACATATCACATGGATATTTCACCAGAGATTTATCAAGATATACACTGAACTACACGTTTTTGTTGATGCTCTTAAACTCTCCAATCAGCGATACCAGATTCTGTCAAAAAAAGTAATAGATTTTGTGCGAATTTAACTTTACTTTAAAAATTTACTAATTTACGTAACTGAGTAACGTCAAATTGTAATATTGTATTTGTATATTTGTAATTTGACTATATTTGAAAGTTTTGACGTATTTTTGAAATGTCATATTTAAAGGTAATTTTAGTGGTTTAATAGATTTTTTTAATTTTTTTCATGTTTAATCGTTTGAGCTGTGGTGCCTATAAATTGGCAGAGTAGTTTTAAAATACCCTAAGAACAAGAAACAATTAATATTAAAAATCAAAATTGTTGAGTTGAGACATAAACTATTAAAGAATAGGTATTTTATTAAAATTAAAAATAAATTTATTATTTTTTCCAGAGGTACTGAAATTATTGCAGCCATCTGCAATAAATGGTTGTTTTGACAGCGATACGAGCTTTAATAGTGATTCCGACTAGGAAAGTTGGTCAACTAAAGGCATATTTTCCATAGTTGTTTACTTAAATGTATATTTTCTGTTATTGCAGTTCTATAGTTGTTATAGAGTTTATTTAAAGTATAGCCTTTAAACTCAGCTTTCTTAATCTTATACCTTTGACTTTATTATTATAAATAAATAAATTGTAAATAAAATTAAATTAGGCACTTCCCTGCTGTAAATTTTTTATTTTATTTTAATAACCGACCGGTTTCGACTTACGACATCTTCAGGGTTTCTACAAGAATGGTATAAAGATATATGCTAATATAGAGATTTAAAATATTACTTACACGTCAATAT